GCGAGGCCTCAGACACTCGTTAGCTCGGCTAGAGGCAGACAGAGGTCCAGGCACACGTCAAGGCCAGCCTCCCTCCAGAGACCTTTCTGAAGAGGTTCATTCTGCCAAGATGCTTGGGGCAGAGGCATCAGCAGATGGTGCCATGGGAGCCCTGCCAGGGCAGGACCTGGGGGAGCCGAGGCAGGAGGAAAGACTTCACAGAGGTAATTTCAGGAGTAACAATGCATGCTTAAGGCTCACAGGGTTGCTGTGCCTGAAAACCTTCACTGCTGGCATTTCCAGGAGAGATTATACCACGGGATTAGATCCCCGGGAGCCAAGTCCCTTATTTTATAGGGCAGGCAGTCATCTGCAAGGCAAGACCCGGTCCCACTTCCATCGAGACCATCTCTAGGATGGCTACACGGAACACAGGAGGGTGGACAACTTGTCCTTCATAGGCAAACAAGAGGCAGTGGCATATGGTGATGGCACGAGGACACTCACATCTCCCTCTGGCTCACATCTCCCTCCTCTAGAAGGTGGCTTGGTTCCTTTGGTTCCAGCTGGACATCTGTCTGGTCAGTTGCTCTGGGACTGCTGGGAGGCATTTCCTCTGGAGCCTGGAGCAATCACCCAAAAGCCCAGGATTAGCCCCTCTTTAAGATGAGTTTGGTCCCCGAACTACCTGTGAGCTGGGAAGTTCAGGGGGTTCACTAGCAATCCACAGCCCAGCACATGCTGAACCAGGACCCCACAGACCAGCCGAGCTCCTGCCCTCTCCCCACAGGCCCAGTGTCCCCTGCCAGGGTATTGAACCCCCCCACCTCTTCTGGGCCCTGCTCATCATCCCAAGCCCTCCCGTGCTGCCCATCCCTTCTCTCACCTCCTCCTCCAATCCCAGCTGTAGCTGAACAGGCCGTCCAGCTTCCAGCTCCTGCTGCTCTCCAGCAATCTCCCTCTGATCATTCAGGCCCAACCACGTCTTCGGGACAGCTTGCTCCCACCTACAGAAGCCAGGGATGTAGCCACTGAGCCATAAATCCTCTGCAAAAGCCATCATTTTGCCTAAGAAGTTTTGGGATGAATCAAACAGAAGATTGGGCCTTTGCCACCCAGATTCCCCAGGTGCTTGCGTGCTGTGGGCTGTCAGGTTCATAACGACACCAAACAGCAAGCCTCATAGGATGTTTGGGGTTGGTACTCCTAGAGGTCACGCAGCCCAACCCCACTGCAGGGAGCAGGGACACCTTTAACCAGATCAGGCTGCTCACAGCCCCGTCCAGCCTGGCCTG